AAAAAAAAAAAAAAAAACATGAGAAGTGGATCAAGAGTACAGGTGAAGAATTGGCCAATTAATCCTGTGGGATGGGAGCAAATGAAATAAAAATGGGACCAGATAGATGTTTTGAGTTTGAAATGAACGGATCCAAGGTGTTCCTGCTTGGTTGGTCATATAGGTGAGATCACTGGGGAGGACAACAGTGGGTGGGCAGGGTCAGCAGTCACTGAGAAACCTGGGGAAGGTGTGAAAGCAGCTGCCGGAGAAGCAGGAAGGCTGGTCGGTGACCGGCTCGAGCTTCCTTGAGGAGTAGCAGACATTACACTCATCATTTAGACAGAGACTCCTGAGATCACACAAATCCATAAACATTTATTTATTGTACCCTCAAACTACTACAGAGGTCTGCCTGCCTTCTCTTCAAAGCTTCCCCGTGGTGCCTGCACTCTGTCATTTCTCTAATTGCACACTGCAGAAACTTCTGTTAGACACAACTGGTCCTTAGACCACTGACACCTGCAGGTCTTGCTGGTGCACGCTGAGTTCAGAAAGCTCTGGAAACCTTGCCTTTAAGGAGGAAGAGGCCATGCTGGAGCTTTGCTTTCTGGGTTTCCGGTCCCAACATCACTCTTTCCTTAATGCAGTCTGAAAACACTATCACCCTCATTTGCTCATGCGACTTCCAAAGCTTTTGGAGTTTTCCCTTTGCGCACCTAGGGTTTTGCTCCTGGCACTGTGAGGAAGGTCCAGGAGAAAGAACAGAATTCTGGGCGTTTCGTGGGAACTCTGCGCCGACTCAGAGCGAGACGGCCCCTTGTCATTTTCTCCTCAGTGCCCTCATTTCCTTTGTAAATTATGGAGGGGCTGTAATGAGGATTAATTTGGGTCCTAGGATATCATAAATTGTTCCTAACATTGGCAAAAGGCTGCTTGTAATTTGAAACTCCCAAAGTTCAGGGAAAGGGCAGATGCTGTCAGCTTGCGTGCTGCTGGAAGAATTGGCATCTCTGAGAGGGACTCTTGGCTTCGCTTCCAGCGCAGCTAGAAAGAGTTCTCACAGGCATAGTGGGACAGGGTACGGGACAGCGTGAGATCTGCTTCTTATACAAGGGACATATCCAGATCATCAGGAATTAAGAGAGTATCACCAGGAGATTGAGGGAAAGATCTGTTTCAATAGATTTCTGGGGCAGGCAATCTGCTTTCCATGGATTTTTAAGTGAAAATATTGCTAGAAATTACAATCTCTTGCTACAAAGCCTTCAAATGAAACCAGACAGTTCGGGGCCCTGGGTGGTGCATTTACCAGCACTGACAAGTGCTTTGCACCCCACAAGGGAAGACAGGAAGGCCCTGTCATCAGGACTGTCCTCCTCCCTTCCCAGACCTTTACTCCTTTTTCATTTTGGAGGGTAATTCAGGATTTGTGGGTTTTCTTCCACCTCCGGAATGAAGGATGGTAAATGGGACTTGAAGGGTAATTACCACTGGAAAGCAGGACGGGGGAGGTTTTCCTCTACAGCGGAAGCTGAACACAATCGAGCTCTTTATTAAAGGCTGATGTTACAGGAGTAGAACCAGAGACGGGGCTATAACTTTATCTCTAAAGACTAAAATTTTCCAACAACTCAGCCCAATTTTCTACTAAGCCCAACCCCTCCCCCCGAAGGCTGAGGCTGGTGCTCTGAGGGGGAGGCCACATTGGGGAGGGTTTAGGAGCCCCTGTGAGGGGGGCGCTCTGCACTCCAGTTCTGAGAGCCCTTGGGGAAGATGCCGACCCCCCCACCCCCCCCACCCCCCCACCCCCGACCACACTGATCTTCCCGTTTCTGTTAGGCAGGCAGTTCTCTCTATACCCCTAGCAACTATCTGTCACTCGGTGCTTCAGTACTTGACAGGCATTCAATCGGAAAGGGATGAAAACTCAATCACTGCGCTGGGCCTGGCCATTTGCTAAAAACCTCAGACACACACTTTGTACAGGTCCCAAGCTTCCACTTCACTGACAGACGCTGCCTGTGGGCTGCTCTCCGGCTGCTGTGCTGCCGAGTTGGTAATTGAAATCCTTTCTGCCCTTCGGGGTAGTGATTAGACTTTGCATTCACGAGTGTGCGTGCCTTCTCTCTGCTCCCCTCTCCCTCCAGACTGCCATCCTCTGTGCCAAAACTGTACAGCTGATCTCCACCATACCGGGAGCATCTGCCTGAGGTGCCAGAATGCCCGCCACCTGCTGCTAGGGGACCACTGCGCTCCTGACTGCCCTCCAGGATACTATGCAGAGAGGGCGGCTTGTAAAAGTAAGTGGGGACTCGGGAGCTGGAGGTTCTCTCTGGGGGAGTAGCTGAGGCTTGACCTTCCTGAGAGAGAGAGCAGGCAGCAAGCTTCCTAGAGCCCCAGGAACTGTCCCCCAGACCAGCCGATGCTGTCAGTGCCGGGTTTCAGAAGGGAATCTGGCATCATGGTTTCTGCCTGTGTCTCTTTTTCCTCTGTAGGATGCCACTCCTCCTGCAGAACCTGCCAAGGAAAAGGACCTTTTTCCTGCTCCTCCTGTGACAGCAACCTCGTTCTGTCCCACTTTGGCACCTGCAGCACCACCTGCTTCCCTGGGCACTATCCTGATGACAGCCGTGCTTGCCAGCGTAGGTTTTTCAAATGAACTTTCTCCCTTTTCCTGCCCTTCTGTGAGATTTCCACTTCTCACCTGATAGCCTTTATTTTTATAAAAAGAAGAAAACGAATCTACAAAGGCTATATGAATGCAGTGGCGATTATAACCCAGATGGGAGCTCACTTGAAAGTGCTGGGCTTGAGGGGTGGGGACAAGGGCAGTCTCCTCTGTAAGGACCAGCTGTGTGATCTTGGACTGGCTAACCCCTCTGTTCTAGTTATTTCATTTAAAAACTAAAAGTGTTAATCTGTTTGATCTTTATAGTTTCAGCAATCGAATTCTATGATCCTGGTCTCCAGTGTACAATCCATGGACACTTCTCTGCATTTCATTTGCTTTGTATATGTGTTTGTTGAATATTGACAGTATAAAAGACATGATGTGCTACAAAACACTCCATTTCTGCCCAATGGTAGCTATTTTGTGTTGCATGAGAATTACTTACATAGATGTCTGATTTCTCAGGCACAAAGAGTGAGGGTAAGTTAGAGAAAGAGTACAACTGGATGAAAAAAATTAGGAAATCTGTTA